TTCTTATTAACTCTTTCTTACATCTTATATTAGCCCATTATTCTTGTCTGTTAGCCACGTGGCTTGGTACATTTTTCGGTGAGGCAGTCACATCTTGCTTGCTCTGTGTCTGGCTCTCTCTGTGTCTGGGTGAATCTTTCGTTTTCCCATAATTCTCATAGTCATGCCTCTACTTCCTGTCTGGCTACTGGCCAATCAGCATTTTATTAAAAATAATACAAGTGATAGGATAAAAGACCATTGTCCCACAGCATTAAGGGGTGAGGGGTAACCCACAATCTCTTGGCTTGAAAGGTTTCCTTACATATTTGTTACTATGGGAATGGGGTGGTCAGCAGCCAAAGGGACTGAGAACAAAAGCCTAAAAATAGGGTCAGAACCTAATTAGTAAGCATCCTCTACCCATATTTTCTCATTTAAAAAACTAACTATACAATAAAATATAATTTGGGGGCTGTGAAGATGGTTCAGTCCTTGAAGCACTTGAGGACCTAAGTTTTGATTCCCAGCTCCTATATGAAAGGCTGGCCTGGTGGCATTTACCTGTCACCCCTGAGCACTTGGGGGACAGAGAAAGGATGCTGTCTGGAACTCACTGACAAGCAAGTCCATCGGTGACTTTCAGGAACAGTGAGAAACTCTGTCTCAAAAATAATGAAGTGGAACGGGGTTGAGGAAGACTCTTAACATTGACTATGTTCTCCATGTCCTCCTGCCCTTACACAGACATGTACACAGACACACGAAATACACTCCTACACCAAGAAAGTACACTTGTACCCATTTTATAAAGAGGCTGAGATTCAGTGAAGTTGTGGAACTTGCCCAAAGTCCCCTGGTTCCCAAGTGACAGAGACGGAATAGAATTTCCTCCTTCACCAGGAGGACCTCCAGATGTGAGCACACTGACTGAAAAAAAAAAAAAAAAGGGCGGCAAGGACACTGATGACAGAGTGTCTCTTCCTGCTGACAAGTGTCTGCCGGTGCTGCCAGAGGCATTCTGCCAGACACTGGGAAGCGTGTTTACAAATCAGGCTCCCAGTTTCTCTATGCATTAACAAGCCCAGAGGAGGGAGAACTCTACAATTGGCAGGGATGGAGTGCCTGTGTGTTTCTCTCTCTCCGCACATCAAAACAGGGCTTCCAGGAGCTTAGCAGAAGGTAAATAAATAACCTGTTCTCTGTAACGCTGGAAATCCCAGAGAAAAGCTCTGAAAGCTTCTCAAATTGATGAACTTTGAATTAGAAGAAAAGCAAATGACTAGGTTTGGGCTCTTGGCCTCTTTCCCTTTACAGTAAGAGAGGTTAGGAGTTATGAAAGGAATTGCGGTGGATGGAGCTGCAGCCTCTCCAGTGCTTAGCTGACTGGTTTACTAATCATATGGAAGTCTCCCATTGGTCTCAAGTGTGGGCCAGCATCTTCTGAGGGCAGCTTGTTTTGATTTTCATACATACACACACACACAGATGAATGGCTGTTTGTGAAAATTAGCGCCAAAGGGCTAGGAATCTGATAAGTAACCTCTCAGGGGAGTTCCAGAATAGCAAAGACTTTCAGTGGAAAGAGGTGCTTCAGATCGACATCTGTGTTGTCTCCCCAAGCCTGGAACTCAGAGTCTGCCCTTTGGAAGAGAATTACAAGCCAATAAAAGGGAGGAGTTTAATGTAGCAGAAAAGAAAGCTAATGCTTTATGTAGAATACAAAAGAAGTCTCATGAAGGCTATTCTTATTTTACTAAGCCTAGCATTTATTCGGACCCCCCTCCCCCCCCCCCCCGCCTTACTTCCCTGTAGAAGATGAATGAGTTAGCAAACGCTCTGGCCATATGAATGGGTCAGGCCCCTTGCAAAATCACTTGTACCCTAGAAGGTGATATTGGCTCCATTTTTCACAGAGACACTGAGAGAGCAAGTGACATGCCTCGGAGTTTCCAGCTCCTTACGTCACGACTCTCCCATCTCTACCACCAACGTTCTCTAAAATCTTGAGTACAGCATAGAAAACATTAATAGACACTGAGCTTTCCAACTACTTGAAGACTTTTTCTAGTTCTTTAGGGGGCATCATCATTTGCTAGAGGAACCGGGCAATGGAATAAAAACTGATACCTTCAGAGCACAGAGCACCCATAATCTACTTAAAGACAAGTGAATATGATAAATAAACATTCAGACGCAGGATCATGAAGGAGGTGCACAATGAGTTTGAGCTTAAACAAGTACTAACAAATGGCTCCCTTATACTCCAGACGTCCTGTGATAGGATAAAAATATATCCTGATGGGGGCTGGAGAGATGGCTCAGAGGTTAAGAGCACTGGCTGCTCTTCCAGAGGTTCTGTGTACAATTCCCAGCAACCACATGGTGGCTCACAACCATCCGTACTGAGATCTGGCGCCCTCCTCTGGCGTACGGGCATACATCAAGGCAGAATGTTTTATACATAATAAATAAATACATCTTTTTTTTATTTATTAAAGATTTCTGTCTCTTCCCCGCCACCGCCTCCCATTTCCCTCCCCCTCCCCCAATCAAGTCCCCCTGAAGAATGAAAATAAATAAATCTTTAAAAAATATATCCTGATTTTCCAAATGTAGCTATGTGTCCAAGAATCCATGCATTATGGAATAAAGAATATCTAGATTTTAGCTCCTCCCTGTGGCAGACATTTTCAACAGGATGTCCCTTGAGCAGGGTGACCCTCCATATTGGCTTTTCACTGCTAGGTGACTAGTAACTAGGGCAAAGGCTAATGATCTCAAGATTGGTCACAAGGGGTAGAAAGAGCATTTGGCATCTAATCACGAAACAAAACCGCAGAAACAGAAAAGGTGAATGGATTTACGCTGTCCCACTGTGCCTGAGAATAGGTCAAATCAGTGCCATTTAGCCACGGATCCATCCACATATGCATCAGTTGCCATGGAAATCCCTCCGTGTTACGGGGGCGGGGGGAGAACATGTTCCAGCCCAGTTAGTGGGGAAGTCATGAGCTCCTAAGTAGCCTGGGTGCCACAGGGAGTGAAGCAGACGTGTTTCCACTCCACAGGACCCAAGTCTGCATCAGGAACAGAGAACAGCTTGTAGGGGATTCTGAGCTTATGATATTTATTAAATCAAGCTGCTTGAGGAGTTTAATGGGGCTTCCATTAGACTCCATCATGTGGGGTTTCCTCTCTGGGGTAACAAGCAGCAGACTTAGGAGAAGGTCCAAAACTCCAAGACCTAGAAGGCAGCTCTGCCAACCTCTCAGTTCTGAAGAAGGTAAGATAGAACCCAGCAATCCGTTCAGGCACATCTTAAAACAGGGAGGTGAGGGAGGTGCTGAAGCCTCCACACAGCTCTCCCATACCTATGCACCCCTTCAGTATGGTGGTGCTGTATTATCTAGACATCTGAAAGACTTCTGTCCACTGTGGGTTGACTAAACAGTTCTCTGACCCCCTAAGCCATGTGCTTGGTTTAGAGAATATGTCTATTTTTCTGGACAGAGGATCTGCGTATAATCGAATCCTCAGAAAGACTTTAGTGAAAAGTGAAGTATTATGTCCAGGACTGACCCTGGAAAGAACACTCCAGTCCTACTATCTCGTGAGTGTCTGATCTAATTGCAGTCATCATGTGTCACAACTGAGGTCTGTCACTGAAGGTCGCTGGTCCCATAGTCTAGCCTCAGGGAGTGCTAGAAATTCTGAACAATGAATTTGTATTAGTAACTTGTTAACCTATTCATTTTCCCCCCAACCTATAAATAAAGCTCCTCAAAACAGACCAGAATAACCTAGGATTTTTTTTTTCCAGTGCTGAGAATCAAACCTCAGGCTTGCCATGCAAGCAGAACCAGATTCTCATATTAAAACAAACAGAAAAGGTTGTAATCCCAATGCTAGGGAAGCAGTGGGAGTGGGCGCCTCTCTGAAGGTCCCTGAGCAGCCAGCATAACTAAACCGGCAAGTTCCAAGGAAATCAGAAACCCTGTCTCAGAAAACAAAGTAGGCAATTCCAGTTGAACAACACTGGCTGCTAACCTCTGGTTTCCACATGTATGCGTGTGTACACACACAAACACACAGACACAGAGCACATGACGGAGCCCAGGATGGCAGTAAGGACCCAAGTACTTGGCATTCAGCTACACTGAATACTGAAGCAGGAAGATCACATGAGCCCATGAGTTTAAGTACAGCCTATACGGTGTCTTTAAAAAAGAAAACAAACAAACATGTAGCAATAGAGCTGTATCATAAACATAAACACCAGGATTTTGATGGTTGTAGGTGGTCTAAGTCAGGTCAAATGGCATTGAAGTGAAGGGTTGAGAACAGGCAAATAGACCAGCAGATTGCCCTGGTCCTGCGTTAAGAATGGGGACAGTTTTCATCTCGTCTAGCATTTACAATGATTGCTGTGGGAATCTGGCATCAACTCCATATGAAAAGAATTCACACCAGTTTAATAACTAGACCAACACTAATCATGAGTGTGTGTGTCACATGTCCTATTTTACACTATAACTCTGTCTGTTTATGTGCCCACACAGTATGACATCTTCACATTCTACTTCTGGCCGCTGGTCCCTCCACTGGGCATTCACACAGCCCTGCAAACCCCACGCAACAGGGCGGTAAACAGAGCCACACATCTCCTTGAGATTCCCTCTGGGAGGTTGCCAAACACTAAGGCTCCAGGAAAGACATTTTCCCATCCCAGAATAATGACAGCTGTCACTTATCTCATGTTTATAGTTACCAGGCACAACACATAGCATCCTAAATGCTTTTCATATATTAGTTTAGCCAGCCTCGGGCATCGAGAGCTTGATGACTTTGTCTAGATAACGAAAGCTGTACTAGGATGTGTGATCCAGCGGTTTGAACCACCGCACTGTCGAGCCTAGCAATCCAGCGAATTCTCGGAGCAGTGCTATGGAAGATCCCTTCTTGGCAGTGAACAGCCCAACCGAGCCAAAAAATCTGAAACGATCTCTTCCTTCTGACAGGTTTCATCCCCCCACCTCTCATCTTCGGGGCTGGTATCGACTCCACCTGTCTGTTCTGGAGCACCTTCTGTGGGGAGCAAGGCGCCTGCGTCCTCTACGACAACGTGGTCTACAGATACCTGTACGTCAGCATCGCCATTGCGCTCAAGTCCTTTGCCTTCATCCTCTACACCACCACGTGGCAGTGCCTGCGGAAAAACTATAAACGCTACATCAAAAACCACGAGGGCGGGCTGAGCACCAGTGAGTTCTTTGCCTCTACTCTGACCCTAGACAATCTGGGGAGGGACCCTGTGCCCGCGCACCAGACACATAGGACAAAGTTTATCTATAACCTGGAGGACCATGAGTGGTGTGAAAACATGGAATCCGTCTTATAGTGACTACGGGAGGAGGGCTGAACTCTGTGAACGAAGGGTCATTTTTCTTAATAAAAAAGAGAGAAAGAAAAAGGATTTCAAAAACAGACAGACAGACAGACACACACACACACACACACACACACACACAGACACAAAGACCTTTGTCTTATTCAAAAAATTCAGAGTCAGTCAGGATTCAGAATAAAGAGAGGATGGGATGGCCCCGGAGGACACGCACACTGCTGGGCTCTGCTTGGAAGGTACCTCATGGTTTTTCACGATGCCAACAGCTACAAGCAACAGGCACTGCCAAATTCAGGGAACACTTGTGGCCAGCTTGGAGGATGGACGTTGCTGGATATGCACACACATGCAAAACTTTAAAAGCATTTTTTTAAAAAAAGAGTCTACTAAAATCACAAGTTCAAGTTGGAAACATGGCCAGGATCAGCACTAGTGACACCCTCTCCCTCCGTCAGGGTGGGGGCGGGGTGCAGGTTGGAGGGGTGGAAGCTCCACTCCTTTCTCCAACTGTCGCAATATGGGTCACTGTGTAGACCACTCACCCAGTCTGCGTGTGGTTCAAGTCCCCAGAGTTCTCTGAGAGATGCTGATGGGCCATCCGGACTGGAGTCTGTGGTTGGCACCTCTCACCAGCTCCATTTCCATATCAAGACTGAGGGCCCAAGGGGGAGCTGGGTTGGGCGGGGCATGTCCCTTCCCATCTCCTAGCACCTCCTCCCCACTAGCCCCACAGTGCGACCTCAGGAAGCTGTGGGCCTCACCTGGCTATGACTGACCCGCTCAGAGCCTGTGAGCCCCAACATAGCCCAAGTCATTTGCTTACATTTGCCAAACATTTTACCATTTTTTTTCAAAAACAACAAAAAAATGACAAAGCGTACGAATTTCCAACTGTTGTATGTATAATCCTCTGATACTATTTTTAACTACTTCTTGAGTCTGTGTTAACCCTTCAGTCACTAACAAGGCTTTCACTTTTCTCCTTTTTTTAATGCACCAAAAATATAAAGTGATTCAAGGGATGCAATTAATCCATTGTCATTTTTAATCCTCATTCTGATACCGTGCAGAAAAATGCACAGCGTGTTCTAAGAAAAAGATGCCCCAGAAAGAGAGTAAATGCAGCTTTAAAAGATGCACATTTGAGATCCTGGGATAACGTGACAAGCTGCAAATCTGCCTTCTGGCTTTGTTCCCCATGGTGATGTCACTGTCATGGGAAGCACTTTCATATTCCTTTTAGCCTGTGGTGAAGGAGACTCGCTCAGATGTGGGTCTGGGTGGATGGGAACCTTGCTCCTGGAAACAGGAGAGAGAGGAAGTGTGGTTCCTGTTGAGCAGGCTGTGGTATCTGTGATCATCAACCCACAAGTGCAGAAGTGATCACGTGTCCAGTGCATGAACATGGCAGTGACAGGTCCCAGGTCAATCCCGAACTCGGTGTGTCAAAAGCAGCTGAACCTCAGAGACCTGCACGGTCATGTGGGATAAGAGTCCTGTAGGGGAATCTCTTGCACCAGCACGCTTAAGACAGTATGGCCACTGGCTTCAGGGACTGGGTCAGAAGGGAGCACATACATGCATAGCCAAGGGCCCAGTCAGATCACCCTTCATGCCTTTTTGTTGGCCTGTGTTGTAGACATATCCTGGGATAGGCCACGAAGGATGCTTGGTTTTTATTTTTCACCTTACACAGCCATTTACAGTTCACTTGAAGCAATGAAAGAATAAAGGCCAGAAGAGTAAAGACGAGGGTGTGCCAGAGTTTTTAAGGCACAGTGTAAATGGGGAGGTCTGGATGATAGCCCCAAGTTGGAGGAGGCATCAAACCAAGAGAACCTAGAGAATGCTGTGTGGCCGTGTGGCTGTGATCTGCCGCCTCCTTCAGGGTGGTGCTTCTGAAACAGACCAGCATTAGCCTAGTCTTGTTCATGAACACAGGCAGGGTGTTCATCGAGTCTATAACTAGGAAAGGGGGAATGGTTCTCCAATCAGTTCATGAAATGAGTTCTGTTGCTCTGAAGGTGTTGGTCACATTCCAAACAGGTTTCCGTTCTGTCTTGTTTTGAAAATGGATGGCTAAGAGGTTAACTGGCCTCTCTCTGCTGCTGTGTATCTCTCCAAACTGAGGCCCTGGGATGTACACTTTGTTTCATGAGATTGATTTGCTTTTTGGAAAAAAAATATAATTTTTAAGCTCTTTGTATCTTGGATTGCTTTTTTTCCCTAAAATGTTCTCAAAGACAACAAAGGAACCCAACTCCAGGGCTCATGTTTATCAACAGTTATTTATAAATTTAAAATCTCCCTCTGGCAAAATGATTTCAATGAATATTGTGCTATCTTTAAATTTTTCAATTTCTCTCATGTTATGACAGAAGAGAACATTCAATCGACTTTTAATTTTCCTTTTGATTATATTAAAAAACAACAACAACACTGGCATCCAAGCCCCTTGGATGTCTGGTTTTGAGTGGCATTCTGCATGAGAACTGTCCTGCTAAGATCTCCCTTGAACATACAGAAAGCAAACCTGAGAGGAACGGAGAAGATCTAAAAAATGAAATTGGAGTTCTGTCTTCTGAGGTCGTCCCTCCACCATCTTAGTTAAATGCACGCATGGATGGATGAAAAGGTCTCTGCTGTGGCTTTTGACAGATCTTTATGCCTCTTCCATGTAGACCACGCAGATATTAGGCTCTGTGCCTGTGTTGCTTCCCACGTGTGGGAAACCTACTTTTCTTCCATCAGCTGAGGTTGTGTGCTGTCAGGGACACCTATGTCTCTGTTACTCGCTTCCCACCTCCACAAGAAAGGCCATGATGCTCTGATACCCTGGGGATAATAACAAAGCCACAGAGTGGCCAGACTCTTCTCAGAGCAAATAAAGAGCAAGAGAATCCTTTTTGGATCCCCCTAAGGATCTCACTGATAGTGCTTAACAGCAGAATATTAAAAAAAAAAAAAAAAAAAAAAAAAAAAAAAAAGCCAAGAGTCCCCCCCCCCCACCCCAGGAACGATTGGGGAGTTCAGGAAGGCAGCGTGACTAACAGTCATTTCCTTTTCTCTACCTCACAGTGGGATAGCTGCTCTGGGGGTGACTCTTAAGTAGGGTTGTATGTGGTACCTTATCCATTTAGATCCTTAGATCCAGTGATGCCCTGGAGTTTCTCCTCACACTGTGAAAAGCCTTCTAGGCCTGACATAACCCACAGGAATGTCCTACACAAGGACACCCACCCAGCCAATAGTCACACTGCCCCGAGGATTTTCCTAAGTATACAATTGTGATATGGTGGTCAGTTTCTCCTCTCCAGTAGCTTCTGAGGAGGCTTTTATAAAGGAACCCAGAAAGTGTAAGTATGCATGCTAACTCACAGACAAATGCTCCGAGGAAATACAATTGTTGGTCACCAGTCTGCCCATCTGCTGCTTCTGGTCCTGGGGAAGAGTGGGGTGTGTCCTAAGATCTACATGACAGTTTTTAAAGCATTACTCAGTAACATTGAATAATAAATATCAGTATGTGGAAGTCAACTATCTGATCATACAGATGGACAAGGATGGAATAAGGAAGCTACCGTTGCTGTTTATTGGAGTCTTGCTCTCTTTTTGCTGTGTGTTTGGTTTGGTTGTGATAAGCAGAGAGATGCAGGTGAGCAGCTTTCTCCCCTCCCCGCCCCCCAGTCTAACAGATGGAAAGTGTTTTCTGGCCATTACTGTTCTAGTCTGGTTATTTTGATGGATGGGCCAGCCAGCTCTCTGGCCAGAAGTCAGGGGCAGTACCAAAAATTAGAGCCTGGGCAGTTCCTCTGGATTTTCACTCACACAATTAACCTTCGCCTTTAAGTTAAGAATCCAGGTCAAATACCTAAGAGCTACCACGTTTTTCAAGACAGGGTGGTTGTGAAATACATTCTGGTTTAGGAAATTTATTTGGGATCCAACCCTAGCCTTTTTCCTTCTGCTTTCTCTCCTCATTCACTATGTCCTGCCTCACCCAACCCACACCAAACTCTATCTCTCTGACTCAAAACCCAATTTCATAGGGCAGCTGACCCAAAGTGACAGGCTGTGGGTCCCAGCTCCTCTAGAGTATTACTGCCACTCATGAGCCAGGCTGGCAGTCCAAAGTTGTTGTTCGCAGGCCTTTATTAGGGACCACTTCTTTGTGGAACCCCTGGAACCCCTTACTCTACATTGTCTCCCTTGTTCTTCACACCTGTAAGGAATCTTAGCTACTCCTATGCCATGGCAGGATCAACATGACCTGGTAAACCTACACGGGGAAATACAGATAAGCAAAGACGGTTTCATACCTCAGGAGTATTTGCCTGCCTCGGAAATGAAGACAAGAGCTTAGACTTATCAGAGACCATCTATGCTAGCATAATTTTTCATTGCAGGGTTTGTTTTTCTCAAGGATGTGGTGTTTGAACATGATGTATTCGTTCCTTTATCTAAACTATTGGGCTGTGTGCCACCCTATAAGCTAGGTGCATGGCTCCTCTCCTCCAAGAGCTCACAGCTCAGTAAGCTGGATAGATTTTAACACAAACAAAAGAACATTCCAAGCCAGGTTCTGTCTGCATATGAGAAATGACTCAGAGCCCACTCATGCTGATAGCAAGCTTTGATTGATAGCTGCAGTAATCAAAGAGGAGAGAGAAAGAGAAGATGGGATCCTGGAGACTAAATAACAGTGGGTGTCTCCCGGGTGCCTACTAAAAAGATGAAGGAAAAAAATCACTCCTATCATCATCCACAGAGTCACCAAAGCAAGGACAACACATTACTCTTGTCCAGGACTGTCTAGTAAAATCCTTCAAACCTTTTAGGCCAGCAAACTATCAAAACTATTTACCCCGTGTGGTCACCCCAGATCAACTCAGAGCAATAAGTGAAACAATGCCCAAGCTGTGTACCAATAAAGTTTTATTTACAAAAACAATTAATGGCTGAAAGGAAGGTCATGGTGTGCTGAGGCAGCACTAAATGTCTTGGAGACACCATCCATTCTGAATAGGTGGGGCACATTCGGCACCTAAATATTGGCCATAGCATTGGCTGACTCATTTTTCCAAAGGATCCTAGAGTAGGTGAACATCAACTCTAATGTCCGTGACCACAGCAATCTAATTCAAGCATCTCACTTGTTTCCAACGAGGAAGAAAGTGCCCCTTTGTTGTCCAACTTCAGAGTTGAGGGCAACTTTATTTTTCTCTTGGGTACAGTTAAGAATTTGAACTATAGAGCCTACCATCCCTTCCAGCCTGACATTTGGCATTTCAACTAGACTGACCCAACTTTTTCCCCCTTAAATGATGGATACAGACACATGAGGGAGAAATACAGGAAACGGGGAAAGAGGAGTGGATCCAGATACCGAGTGGCTCTTCAAGCCCTTTCCCTCCTCTCCCTCCCCAGCACCAACATAAAACATTGGCACTCCAGAGCTAATCAATCTGTCAGGGAGAATAATTGGTAAGCACTAGTAATAGCTAATAATAACAGTCTCTAACATTTATCGGGTACTTACTCTGAACTAGCTGCTGGGCTGAACTGATTACATGCATTAACGCGTTTAATCTTAACACTAACCCTGTGAGGCAGGCACTATCGCTAGTTTTATTTTACAGGGGACGAAAATGAGACTTGGAAGGATTCAGAATTGGTTCAAGGTCATGAGAAAAGCCGAAATTCAAACCCAAGCATGAGTCCAAAGTGCCTCTTGGTAACCGTGATGTATGTTCCCTCCCTACCAAGGTAGATATAAGGGAGCCTCATTCATTCCTTGCCTCCAGGAAATACCTAATCTCAAAGTCTCTGACTTAAATGAACTAGGCCTCCCACTCTTATATGCCCCTTGGTATAATAAGCAGGACACCATGGCAGCTGTATTCTGGAGAGAGTGTCTACTCTCCCTCTTTTAGCTACGGATGTTCTTTATCCCTTATCCCAGTGGTCCATGTATACAAGGAGTTCCACCCAAGATGAGCAGGCAGGTAAAGGGAAACAAGGAATGCATTCTGAAATGGATCAAGAGTCCTGGAGGTTATTCTCAGTACCAGGCAGGAGCTCCCAACCCCTGCCTCCTACCAGATACGGTCACGTCCATCTCGTACGCTCAGCCGTGACTCAGGGTCTCCAGGCATGTTAAACGGACACTATGTCTTACTCTTTCCAGACTGCTGCCTTTGAAAAAGCCGAGCATCCAGACATTTCCATTTTTATAATAACAGCTCAAGTCGACAATCAGGGCTTGATAATAATCATACATGTTGAATATTTTTCCATAAGATAGAAGTGATTATTATTTTTGCTATGAGCAAATGGAATAATATAGCCAATTTTTGGGAGATGTGACAATCGGTAGGCTGAAATTTTTTGCTGTCCCCTTACTGTTTTTCTTAAGTTCACGCTAATCAAATAGGAGGTGGCTCTCGTGGAGGCAAATTTGGCAAGAATGTTTGATTTATGATCTGAGGCCATAAAATGAAGTACAGCAGTATAATGCAGGGAGTGCGTTAGAAGAGAACACAGCTAAAACACAGGTTGAGCTGAAATCCAGACCATAAAGGGAGAAGGGCTTGGGGGCTCTTGTTTATTGAGTCTACCAGTTGCGTGCCAGGTCCAAGAATGCAGAATCCCAGTTGACCCCAACTTATCTTAGGGATAAGATAAGATACTCCAAAGTATCTTAGGGATACTTGGGGTATCCCTAACAGGTAAGTCATTTTCCCCATCTCTACAGATCAGAAAAGGAGGGCCAAGAAAACTCAAGTTTCCCAAGCTCACCAGCTAGTTAGGGTCATCAGGAGTCAGGACCAGGTCTTCCTGATTGCTGAACTAGGGCCCTTTCTAGTCCAACACACAACCGCCGAAGTGGGAACCTGGAAGTCAACAGAACATCCTTCTACAAAGAGGAGGGATGGCGAGGGGACAGGGTGCTGATACAAGACTGTCCTGCTCCCACTATGAGTTGATAGTTTGCCAAAGAAATGAGCTAAGAGCTAGAAGTAAGATCTCTGCAAAAGGTCTCCTGCTAACCCAGGACCATAAAATAAGAAAGCCGATTTTGCTCTAACAGTTAACAAGTAGAGACCTGGCAAAGCCTGCCTTCTTCTACCTTAGCCATACCAAACGCTTCCCAGCCAGTTGTGCTGAGTAAGAAGCAGCCCCATTCTCGCTCCTGCCCTACCCC